TAGGCCGGCGTGGTCGCGAGCCGATGTCGCCGTTGCCTCCTTGTGCGCCGCTGTTGTTCGATTGGGGAAGAAAGAGTATTTATATTTCTAGGGTTTTGTGCTCTGTAGTCTAAATTAACGTGTCTGAGTAAAAACACACTTTTCGGGCCAACTTGCTCCGAATTGTGATCCGTTCACGTCGTTAGATTCGATTCGTCGATCTCTACCCGATGGTATAACTTTTATAATCGTTAACAAGTATTCACAGGTTACACCTGTTCCGTCTTAATTCTTTTGATTAATTAATACGGATTAGTCTTTTAATTTAGATCTTTACAAATATAATCAGATTAGTCTCGTTATATTGAGACGGTTAGAATTTCTAAAATATCTTTTAATTCTTTAAAAGAATAGATTATCATAAATAAATAATTCTTATTTATTTAATTATTGATTAACTTCTAGACCGGTTTTTTGGGGCGTTACATTTCTTCCCTCCTTAAACGAATTTCTTCCCCGAAATTCTTCTAAGATACAAACTTCAATGAATTGGTTTTACATTCACATTACAATCAAGGTAAGGTGAATGGCCACGCCATTCCCAGGGGAATTCTCTTCATTAATCATTCGAGGTATTATCGTAGGGGTTTTGTATTTGTGTTCCATTCAAGCCATATGACAAGTTTGTCAAGTTCATAATTCAATCTTTCTTGAGTTTGATTCCTACGAACATATATGGAGTACCTCCATAGAGCATACCAACAATAGTTGAGCTTTTAGATATCATAGTGTCAGTTATTTGATCAGTCATTCAGTTTGTATTCAAAGTTCGTTTATTTCATTAACTTATGATGTCAGCATAAGATCTTCTTAGGATTCATCGTTAATGAACATGGTTGTGGCAACGTCACACATTCCTTGTGGCCATCATTTGAGTTTAGGAAAATTTATTTCACCATTAGGCTCTTCGAGCGTTAGAGGTCATTTTTCAAGTCTGTCTCGAGTCGTTCGTTCCCTATTGCGATATCACGATTCATGTAGCATTTCGTCATGGTCCGTTTCACAGCGTTGTCACTTCATACATATGTTTCTCTCGAGAGGGATCAGCTTTCAATGCTTATTAGTAACAGGTTACTATTTGATTATTATTTATGTTCGACAATGTTTTCACGTCATTAGCGTATTTGTTCGTTTTGCTTGAGTCCATAATGAGATATATTCCTAGTAACAGTTAATTGATTCGTCTATTATCAACGTATCTCGTCTCTCTTTCTGACCAGAAAGGAGATTCTTCAGCATGTGGTTCGTCCACGATATTTGATAATGTCGAGGTACTTAGGGCTTACGGATTTTCATTTTAGGAATTCAATTAATAGAAAATTTCACTAGTTTACTCGTGACGGTCTTCATCCGTGATTCTTTGTTTGATCCGTTCGGGGCGATCTGATGACTTCAGGTGATGAGATACGATACTGTCTTCCCGTTCATACATATACGTGTCTTCGTTACTAAAAGAGTAAGAATCTTCATCGTTGAGATCTGCATCGAGTTTTCTTCAGGAGTTGCGTAGACGTTAACACTGGCTTCGTAGGGTCACGATGTTTTCTTAAATGCGTCTATTTCGAATACGTTCTTCATTACGATTTAGTCAACTGTTTCGTAGAGTACGAGTTTAGAAGTCAAAGTCAACATTATTACATAGAATTCTTTCCACACAAGGCATTGCTATCTTCACTGATACGTCACCACTTGATTTTGGAAAGAGATTTTGTCAATTCGTTACAGACATACCATCTCCGTTCACGTGTAGAAGTTTGACCACCGTCAATGGGTCAAATTGGGGGACAATCAGTGTAGTCAACGTAAAGATGTAGATTACAGACAAATTTTAACGGTTCAAGAATAATACTCATTCGTTTGTCACGATATTCAAACCCAACGTTCGTAGAATCACACACATTCGAGGAGCTATTTTAAGAATTACTTCCTAAAGATCGTTAATCTTCTATGCATTTTTCGAGCAAGTCTTTTGGAAACTCTTCATTATAAGATCTATATGCGCTCGCGAATAAATTCGAGAGATGTCGCGCATCAAATAATTAGTTTCTAACAAACTATTTGAAAATCTAATCTTTGACTACATTTTGTGCATTCTCAAAAGTATGACTGGATTTTGTTTTTTCAGACATGATTCTCCAAACTAATAAAATCCGTATTTGTAAACAATGTTTTAAAGTTCCAAAATTAGAATAAGGGAAACAAGAAACACTGTTTTAGTAGAGTTTAACAAAAATAAAATTGTTTTCCAAATGCTATTTTAAGTGTTGGGTATATCTTTAGTTACTTGTGCTTTGCAAGTAATCACCCCACACCATAACATCTAGTTTTCATAAACTTGATCACTTCTTGAGAATCTATGATGTTAGAACTTTATGTGTTTATTTGGAAGATAAATTTATGAGTACTACTAAAACTATTTTTTTACTTTGACCTTGTGATTAGCTATTTGGTTTGCTTTGGAGTTTTGTTTTGAGCAATCACAGGTTATTAAGAATATAATATGGATTCTCCATATTGTCCCGAGCACAACAAAGGGTCTAGCCAAAGACACTAAAAGAGGACAGCTTTCTGGGAGGCAACCCAGATATTTAAACTTTTACTTTTATGCATTTTATTTATTTTTTTCTTTTCTTTTAGTCTCATCTTTACTTGGACTTTGTCTGCCCTGCATGCTTAATTGTCATATCTTATGATCCCCTTCCTACATTCTTGCATCTATTTTATTATTCTTCATGCTTCATGTTGTTAATTGTCTCATCTTGTATGTGCATAAATTTATCATTTTTATATCTTTGACATGCATTGAGGACACTGCATGATTTAAGTGTGCGGGGACGCTTTCTGCCTTTTGTTATGCATATTTTAGGACAAATTTTTTGTTTGCCTGTTTTTATACACATACTAGATGCTAGAAGAGCATGAAAGGGGTAGAAAAAAAAGGTATTTCAGTTCAAATTTAGCATTTTAGATGCAAATTGGTAAAAAAAAATTAAAATTTTTAAAAGTTTTGAAAGAAAACAATATTCTTGCACATAAAAGTTTATAGTTTCTTTTAATCTTTTAGCATTCTTAAATGTTTGCAATGTTTGCATTAAATTAAAATTAATTTTGTAACAAATATGTTTGAATTTCTTTAAAAATGAGTTTGCTACTAGAAACTTTAAATCTTTTCTTTTAAGTCATATCTAATTAGAACTTATTTTTGTTTAATTTCATACCTTTTAGTTAGTTAAGTTCAATGTGCACAATTTGTTTAGAAATACATGGAGCAGTTTTCTAACTTTTTTTTCCTAAGTTACTATTCAAGTAAAGTTAGTCTTAAGAAAATTCTTTTTTCTTTTTCTAAATTTTGGTTATTTGCATATTATCAAGATGCTGAAATGAATAAATATATATACTGGAACACCATCTTAGGTTGGCATGGGTGGCACGGTACCTTTGTTCCCTTAAGCAACAGATCCCAAAAGGAAGTGATGTTGTGTATGGAGAAAACTTAGGTTGGAAGAGCAAACCCCTTTTTGGGCCGTACGAATCTCGTCCATAACCAGTTGAAAAAAAAGAAAAAAAACCGACACCATTGAGCCAAAAGAAAAAAAAGTGCAATAAATGGCTAGGTAGAAGTAAGAAAAAAGAATATAAATGAATAAAAATATTGTTTGAGCACTCGAGTTAAAACCCTTGGAATACTTTGTTTATTTAGGTCCCGGGCTATCTGGAATGGGCCTGGTGTAGCCTGGTTGAGACTCGCTACACGGGTCAACTCAAACAATTAAAATTAAATAAAGGAAGAAAACAATAAATAAAAGTTTCCAATTTTTGGAAAAGAAGATAAATTTTCTTGAGCTTTTCTTTACCCGATTGTTTCTTAGGATTTCTAACCACTTTTTTCAGCTTTGAACTAAAAGAGTTGTATATATTATTATATTCCAAAATATTTTATTTTACTATTTTTTACAAATATACAAATTACTTATTATCTCATTGTTTAATCATACTCCTTAAATTGTCCAAAGTGTGTGACCCGTATAGGCACTTATAAAGCTGGCCACAGTATTGGATCTGCACCAATACTATAAGCAATAAGCGGTATCTAGCAACACATTATTGCCCCCAAATTATAAGTTAAGACGTTTGCACCGTCAAAACCTTTCCACAACTCAAACTCCGTGTAACTATATCCCTTTGTCTCAATGTCTAAACTTAATGCAAGGGATTAATAAAATCCAGCTTGTATCCATTAAGTCATTCACTGATTTATCAAGTTTGACTAACAGCAACAGACGTCATAAAAACATCTCAGCATGGCCATGCAATTTCCTCAATCATAACTTATCAGTGGGCCCCATAAGACATTAATCTCTTTTAAAAGAGTAGTGACAAATCCTATGTACGTAATCTAAGTTTCTGAATACGCGCTGCGGCATACCCAAAACAAAGCCTGTATACCATCCTTATTTCATATGGCTTAGGACAATGCATCAAAGTATGCGGGTTCACATATGCAGAAAACGTAATACTTCAAGTCGAAGGATAGCTACACCCGTGGTCGCGCTAAAGATGCTTAGAGCATGAACTAAAAATTCAAGCAACATCTTTAGAATGGGTCAGTCCGGCATCCTATTATCTCCAGATAATATCTGCCCATGTGCGGATGCGAACACACTGTCATTGTCTATGTGACTAAGTCAAACATCCAACACACACTAGTCTCTTATGCATTAACGATATCCTACTCTCGTTAATACTCGACTATGGACATTTAGATAAATATTTATTTCAAGATGTTAGTCTCATCAGCAGAAAAACACTATCTGATAAACATCTTTAAATATAAATCTAGGGATATAATATTTGTTTACATTAGCATGAGATATGTAAACATATTATATCTGCCTATACATGACAGGATAACGATGAACAGTTGGCCATCAGGGCACAACTCCAACACTCTGAGAGTGATTTTGCCCCTTTGTTCAAAACTGTTGATGGTTTTCTATCTAAATGGAGCACTTTGAAGTTATCCTATGCTGGCAGACTGGAACTGATTAGAGCAGTGGTACAAGGAGTCCAATCCTTCTGGCTCCAGGCCTTCCCTGTCCAGAAATATGTGCTTGACCGTATCACCTGCATGTGTAGAGACTTCCTTTGGGGCAGCAAACTTGCCAAAGTTGCCTGGGTTGATATTTGCAAGCCAAGGGATGAAGGTGGACTGGGTTTGAAGGATGCCAATACCTGGAACAATGCTCTGTTGTGCAAAGTTCTGTGGAACTTGGCAGCTAAGAACGACACCCTTTGGGTCAAATGGGTTCATAATGTTTACATTCAGGGTGAGAACCTGTGGTAATGGCAACCCAAGAAGAGACACTCTGTCTTCTTCAAAAGTCTTGCCTATGTGCGTGAGCTTTTGGTCCAAAAGCTTGGTGACCATTATCTTTCTATGGAAGAGGCTATGATTCCCTATTGCTTGGCAGGTAACCTCATTCCAAGAAAGGTTTATGATTTGTTTAGGGCCAAAGCCAACCCGAAGCCTTGGATGGCTTTTATCTGGCAAAACTATATTCCCCCTAAGTGTTCCTTTACGATGTGGCTGGCACTTAGGAAGAGGCTGCCCACCAAAACAAACTTGGAATTCCTCGGTTTACCTATGGACTGCACCTTCTGTGGACATGTGTTGGAAGATGTGGACCACATGTTCTTTAGCTGCTAGTTCTCTAAAGAAGTTTGGGACAATATCAAGACTTGGCTAGGTATGGAAGGACACCTGAGTACCCTCACCAGAGCCATCAGATGGCTGAAGGCATTTAGGCGAGGGGATGAGATTCTCAAGAAGGCAAGAAGGATTGCTTTTGCTTGCACTGTTTTCCACCTTTGGAAGCTATGTAATGCTGCCCACTTTGAGCGTGAACCTCTCTCTATTGAGGCTGTGACTTCTAAAATCAAGGTTATGGTTTATTCTATCCTAGGGAGGATGTGGCCTTTGTACTCTGTAACCTTCTGATGTTTGTTTGGTTCTTGTTCTTGGCGTTTGTGCCTATGTTTTGTTTGTTGTCTTGTTGATTGATATGTGGACATTTGGTGTTGTTGTTACTTGTTTTTATGGATTTGGTAACTACCATTTCCAAGCTCCAGTATGCTCGTTCTAGTTGTACATTCTTATTCATTATTCTATTTACATTTTATCATTGAAAGAGCTCTCAGTAATCTTGAAAGAGCTCTCAATGAATGGACGGACTGAGCTTTCTCTCTGGCGATTCGGGATGAACAGTACCCGTCGCTGGTTCCGTTCAAATTGAAGGCGTTCTCCGGTGAATCAATCCAAATTGACTGCATTTCCTTTTTCCCCTCATCACGGCGAGCATATCTACCCAAGGAATCGTCTCTTCTCTTGAAGGTTGGAGGTTAACGAGAGCTTGGATTTCCGCAGCACTGTTCATCTTCGTCTTTAGATTTTGCTGATGTTCCTCCAGTAAGTGCTCTTCTCCCTCGTTTGTTTGATGGCAAAGAAAGGAGAAAAAGGGAGTGGGAATCCCATCCCTCCCACTCCTCCAAACGTGAGGAACTTGCGTAACTTTCTCCATGGCATTGAGGATGATGTTGGGACCACAGCGGAAACTTTTGAGCCAGAGTCTGGTGTTGAAGGTGATGCGTTACTGGTTGGAAACGAAAAGGCCAAGGCTGGTGGGGTTGATGGAAGCTCAGCTTCTCCTGACTCACTGTCTTGTTCACCCTCTGTGGATGAGGAAGCCATGGTACTTGAACTGGAAAAGAAACTGCAGAAGGACAAACCAGTGATCCAAGATGTTGAGGATGTGAACAACCCTGCCACTGGTGAAGTCACTGCCAAAGATGGTGGGAAACAACAAACTGCAAAGGATGTGAATACCCCTACCACTGACGAAGTCACTGCTAAAGAAGCTGGGAAACAACCTAATGCTAATGACAGCGGGAAGACAACTGGAAACAACCATGTTACCAATAAGGATGAAAAATCAGTATGAAAGAAATCTTTTGCATCTTTGTTTGAGAAGAACAGGTCTGAAGATAAGGGTATGAAGCTTCATAAGGTTGATATGGCTGAGGAAGATGAGGTCTTTATTCAACCCGAGGACATAACACTTATGGGGACCTTGCTTGGTTGGGTGTTTTACTGGAAGATTCCCTGGCCTTGCTCCCATCCAAAGCCTGGTGGAATCCTGGAAAGTACCTTGCCAATTCCTTCCTCATCACAAAGGCTGGGTTATTTTTAAATTCTTGACAAATGCTGACAGAGATTCGGTGCTACAAATGGATGATCATAAAATTAATAATAAGAAACTGCTGCTTAACATTCCACAGGATGGATTTATGTGGAATGCAAAGTCTTTTTCTACTATGCCGGTCTGGGTGAAGCTCATGGATGTTCCTATGCAGTATTGGGGTCCTAATAGTTTGTCAAAAATTGCCTCAAAACTGGGAAGACCACTCTTTACAGATGGCCTCACTAATCAGGTTGCCTCTAAACTAACCTTGGAGAAAGATCCTGAGGACAAAATGGCCTACAAGAAACCTAATTTCTGTAGAATTCTTGTCCACATGGATCTCTCCAAACCCCCTCCTTCTTCCATAAAAGTGAATTTTGGTTGAGGCAGTTATACTCAAATTGTGGAATATGAGGACCTACCTCTTTATTGCTACCACTGTGAGAAGTTTGGACATACTCCTTTTGATTGCGGCCAACTATATGAACTGGAAAAAAGAAAAACTATGGAGGAGCAGAGACTTAAGGACAAGGCTAGGGTGGAGGTTCTGAAAACCACACTCTCGGCTGAAACCAGAACTGAAAAAGCAGGGAAGGTTAATCAGGGTCAACCCAAGGAAATTGGTAAACAGAAGGCTGATTTGGGGCACAACAAGGATGGGATGGCTGCAATCCCTGACCCGAATGAACCCTCACCTTCCTTTTTCAAGAAAGATGAGAATGATACTTTTACTCTTGTGGTAAAAGGAAAGGGGACATTAACCACACACCCTTTGAAACCTCAACACAGAAGAGAAACTAGAGGCAGTGGGCGTGGACAGACACATGGATACAGGGGTGATACATATAGAGGAAGAGGAAGGGGTCCTGGCCCTAACTCTTAATGAAGGTTCTGTGCTGGAATTTTAGAGGCCTAAACTGGGCCTCTAAACAAACGTTTTTGTGTAAATATATTATGCACCTTGGCGCGCACTTATGTTGCATTTTGGAGGCCAAGATGACTGAAGCTAAGCTAAATATTTTCGTCAATAACAAACTCCCATCATGGGTCTCGGCTCATAATTTTGCTATGATTAACGATGGGAGGATTGCTATCTTATGGAACCCCAATTCTGTCATACCTATGCATATGCTATGAATGACCTCCTACAGTTTAGACTGAATAACGATCTTCTTGATGCTAAGGCTACTGGTTTGCAAATTATGAATAAAGGGAATAAAGGGGAACAAGTGGGCTAAGATTGATAGGGTATTGATAAATTATGAATGGGATCTTCTCCGTTGGGAATGCCGGGCTGATTTCAAACCGATGGAGTTCCAATCAGATCACTGCCCTGTCGTTTTGAACCTCATCCAGAACAGCACCCAAGGACCTAAACCATTCATGTTTTTTAATATGTGGATGCAGCATGACTCCTTTGACAGATTGTTGTCGCAGATTTGGGACTGCAGAATTACAGGAACAAGGCAATTCAGTCGATGCAGAAAACTCAAACTCTTGAAGCAACCATTGAGACAACTTAATAAGAAGGACTTTGGACATATTTTAATCAGAGCTGAGGATGCCAGGAAAGCCTACTCTAATCTTATGGCTAGACTTGTGAATGAACCTGATAACCCTGCCCCATCGGATGAATCTGCCAACCTAAGGAAAAGGGCTTCTTTTTACTGTGATGCTGAAAGAGCCTTTTTTCTACAGAAAGTCAAATGCAACTTCATTAATGAGGGTGATAAATGCAGCAAGTTCTTCCATGCTCTGATGAAAAAGCAGAATGCGGTGAACTCTATCCCCTTTCTCATCACTACCCAAGGGACAACTACAACCTCCCTCGAATCCATAGTGGAGGAATTTTTAGCACATTATGGCAATATTTTTGGGAACACCGTGCCAACATCTCCCATTGACTGGAATGTTTTTAGGGAGGGCCCCCTTGTTCAACACTTTGAAGCACAGAATCTGATCAGACCAGTCGAGAAACTTGAAGTGAAGGAAGCACTCTTCAGTATCGGGAATGACAAATCACCTGGGCCTAACGGCTACACTGCTTCCTTCTTTAAACAAAAATGGGATATTGTTGGTAATGCCCTTTTCGATGGAGTTTCTGAGTTCTTTACTAGTGGAAAACTTCTCAAGCAGATCAATCACGCTACGGTTGCACTCATTCCCAAAGTTAAGGCGAACCCTACTGCCAAAGATTATAGACCAATTGCATGCTCGAATGTGATTTATAAAATCATCACCAAGATCCTATCTAATAGAATGGCCTTTCTCCTGCCTGATTTAATCAACCCGGCACAAGCAGCGTTTATCAAGGGAAGAAGTCTTGTGGATAACATCTTATTGGCCCAACATTTAGTTAGGGGTTATGCTAGGAAGAGATCTCCACCTTGTTGCATGATGAAAGTGGATATCTCCAAGGCTTATGACACTATCTCATGGAGCTTTCTGAAGAATACTATGGAAGGTCTGGGTTTCCCCTCCAAGTTTATTTCTTGGGTTATGGAATGCGTAACAACAGCATCATTTTCACTCTCCATCAATGGTGGAGTGTATGGTCTCATCAAGTGTAAGAGAGGTATTAGACAAGGTGACCCTATGGCCCCCACTCTGTTTTTATTCTGCATGGAGTACCTGTCAAGGATGATCAGAAGAATGCTATATGGGAGCAGATTTATATACCACCACAGGTGCTCTAAACTTGGCATTACTCACATTGCGTTTGCTGATGACGTGATGATGTTTTGTAGAGGAAACATTGACTCTGTTACCGTCCTGGCTAATGCAATTAGGAACTTCTCCCAAGTTTCTGGAATCTGGATTGTATGTTAATCCTCAGAAGTCCAACATCTTCTTAGCCGGGGAAATCAAGGATAAAAAGCATGAGTTACTGTCCTTGGTTTCTTTCCCTGAGGGTAAACTCCCTGTCAGATACTTGGGACTCCCCTTGACCTCCCAAAGAGCCTCGAAGAGAGATTTTGCTCCCCTTATTGCTAAAGTGGATGAGAACATTAGGAAATGGAATACCAAATCTTTGTCTGCACCTGGGAGATTGGAACTGATCAGAAGTGTCGTTCAAGGGATTGAGGGGTTTTGGTTTCAGGCATTCCCCATACATAAAACTGTATTGGACCGAATCACAACCTTATATAGAAATTTCTTGTGGGGAGGTAAGTTCTGTAAGGAGGCTTGGGTTGATATCTGTAAACCTAAGGATGAAGGGGGCCTGGGGCTGAGAGATTCAACATCATGGAACCAAGCTCTTTTGGCAAAAAACCTCTGGAATATTGCTTCAAAGAAAGAAACTTTGTGGGTACAATGGGTGCATTCATTTTATCTTAAGGGCAATGACTTCTGGACCTGGACACCTAGGAAAAAGGACTCCCACTTTTTCAAAAAAATTTCTGATGTTAGGGATTCCCTTCTGCAAAAGTGTGGCGACAGATTCATGATTGAAAACAACTTATGTGACTTGGGTGATATGAAAGCTACCAAGGTCTATGAGTTACTGAGGTCCAAATCTAACACAAGACCTTGGATAAGCAATTTGGAAACCCTATATCCCCCCTAGGTATTCATTCACTGTTTGGCTTGCCTTTCGTGGGAGACTCCCTACGAAAATGAACCTCCATTTCATTCCCATGGACAACAGGAGATGTGAGCTCTGTCATAATGAAGATGAATCTGCCCAGCACTTGTTCTTCCTTTGTGAGACCACTGCCCTCATTTGGGATGCCATTAAAAATTGGCTTAAGATTACACCTCCCTTAACTACACTGGAGAGGGCCATTACTTGGGTAAGAAGGCAACGGAACAACCATTGTGCTAGAAGAAAATTGTTGAGGCTGGCCATTATGTGTACAGTTTATACCATTTGGAGAAGCATAAATGGGTGCTACTTTGATAATGAATCCATTAATATTGATACCATCACCAGCAAAATCAAAGTGGGAGTATATAAGGTGATGAATAGAATATACCCCCAGGAGGTTGTGGACCTGTGATTCAATCATGGGGTGGTTTTCATCGTGTTGCTACCCATGTGATCTTTTGGATTCTGTTACCCAGAACTAGGGTAAATTCTTCTTAGAGATTACCCTAGGACTAAGGATTGTGATCTTTCCCCTTACCTCCAATGATAACTTTGTGTTTGAGGAGTTAGGAAATGGAGATAACTTTGGTGATCATGTGTGGGCATTACAGTAAACTCCAGATCCTTGGTTTGGGGCTGGAAACAGTATAAACAATAGGCATCCATCTTTTGGATTCCTAAGGTTTTAACTGGGTCCTGGCTGTGGCGATATGGGGCGGTTGGGACAGTTTCTTTTTCTGAGAGGGTTGTCCCTCGGGGTTGGGTTGACCTTAATGACTATGTCTGTTGACATTGACATTGGGGCGGTGGAAACGATGTTACCTCTTTATACCCCTTCTGGTTACAAAAAGGTACCGTTGGGTCCCAGTTGGGGTGGTTTCACCCACCCTCTCCTTTCTTTCTTCCCCCTCTCCCCCCTTCTTTTCTGTCTCTCCATCCCTTCTTTCTTCTTTTCTCTTCTCCTCCTCTCTTCTGTTTCACTTTCCCCTTCTCCTTCTGTTTCTCTTGCTCTTGTACTATGACCCTAGTGCATTTTACAACTCATTCTTCTGAGGAGTATATGTATGCGGGCTGGTCCACTTGGTTCTTACTGATTCTTAATGGTTTGATAATGGATATTCTTAATGACTGCTGTGGGCTTTTGATGAGTGATCTGCGGGGGTCAGGGGTGCCAAACAGCGTTGCATAATCATTATTTACACAGGTACATACCCTCCTTTTGAAGCTTAAGGATGGGTTTGACTTTTGAACCTGGAAATGATGACATGCCTAATGCTGCTGCTATCTCCCTTGTCCCCCACTCATGCAACAACTCTAATGCGACTACTACACACCTGAAGTACATGGCTGGCATTGGAATGCTGACTACCTGCACAGGACGAGTAATCTCTGGAAGGGGTGTTGACTGCCTGGGCTACCCCTACTTGCCTAGGGTGGGATTTCATTTTGAACCTGTACATGGCTTCTACACTGCTGCATTACAGGGCTGGATTCTGGGTGGCTGACTGCCTGCACGGGACGAGGTCACAACCCCTTGGTGCTGACTTGAGGGACTATGCCTGATGCTGATGCACACTTCCCCATGACCCCAGCTGATGGCACGACGTTGGATGACTGCCTTTGCACTTGAAACACTGTAAATGGCTACTGTACTCCTGAACTACTTGATGGAATACATTGGATACAAAATGCTTGACTTGACATGGGTGGGAATGAACCATTGAGGGCTGCACTGCCTCCCTGGACAGATCCATGGACCTCCTAACCACGCAGTAGTATATGGTTGATTGTGGTCTCTTTTGAGCATGGTGTTCGCACGGACCAGCATGTTTTAAAAGTAGTGGCTAACTGTTACAATGATGTGTGGTTCATCTCTTGTTTGTGTGAGATTACATTTGAATTGTAATTGTTTGTGTAAGTATTGGGTGTAATCCTGTTTTATCTTTGTTCCTAGGCAAGTAACCATTTTTATGGTTAAGCATTTGACACTCTTGTATTTCTTTGATTACGTGTAATAATAATTTGCGGGTGGGTGAGATCCCTGTCCCCTTCGGAACGACAGTTCTTAGATCCCCGTGTACACGTTTTTACCCGAACATCCATTGGACCCAGCAGGTACCACATGGCTCTAACTTACTATACTTATGGCATACCTTGCCATTAATCCATTCAGGTCATTTCCTAGAATTCTTCTAGGTGATATATCCACTATTCATTAATACGTACACAATACAACATTCATAAATCCACAACGTATTTAACAAGATGTCCAACATGATAAAGTAGCGGCCTAACACTGGGTGTAAACACCCATGTTTACCGTCATGCAACACACGGAATCTCAGAATTAATCCTTGACAAAAACACAGATCGACAGACCCGGCATCAGGTACCAGACGGTACCTGTCACGGTACGGGGTACCATCCTTACGGTACCTGGGTACCGATCCTACGGTACCAGGGGTACCGTCCAAACCAACTGGACCCAGCCGGTAGACCTGTCACGGTAGCCACTACCGACCTGGCGGTAGGGCCTACCTTCCGTCCAGTACCAATGTACCGAATGGTCACAACTACCGACAGAGGAGATATAACCAAACAGAGTGTGACGGTAGCACGGTACTGTCCTGGCAGTACCGCCTACCGTCTGATGCAACCAGTTCCTTATTCATACATGTTCCGTTTTTTAGCATCAAACCAACATCAATCTCATAATCAACAAACACCATTATATTCGTAGTAACGTTCTAAACATTATCAAGCACATCAATTCATCAATCAATGCCTAATTCATGCATACTACCCTTTTTGGTTTAACGACAACATATCCCAAAACCACAATCAACAATTATATAGATAAATCACACAGATCAACCACGATAACAATTATGAACGGAATTTCAAACCTAGATGTATATTCTAGTGTTAGATGTCCACGTACTCACCTTGATTCGTCGATTAGAATTCATCGTCGGAATAGATTCATCCCGTTGCTCGAACCGATACGGCTGCCGACACTGCCACTCCT